CGTCTCTTTTTCAGAAACGAACAATGAACTATTTTAAAATGTAAATAACACTGAGATAAGAGCGAAAACGGGCTGTCAACATTACATCTAATTACATTATACGTTAATTATTAAACGTGTATGTCATCCGTTGAGTGCAGTAATGATTTTTTTTTTTAAATCTAGCCTCTTTTGAAGACTTCATATGACCCAGCACCTGTGAATAGAGGACTCCAGATACAAAACGATGACATTTTCATTGCTTTAAAATGTACACAAAGTTTGCTTAAATGCATATATGGTATTTGTAAATACTATCATTTGTACTAGACTTCAACTGTTCTTTCTGATACCCACTCCTATAAAGACTATTCTGGTTTTGTAACAGAAAAACATGCATTTTCTGTAAAGCTGCTCTGAAACAAAGTTGAGATATAGCGCCACCAATTGGGACAATAATGAAATTTCTCCTGTTACTGTATTGTCATATCAGCCTAATTTATGGGTCCATAACTTCAAAATGCTACAGTAAAAATGTCTGCAAATTTGCATGGTGACAGTCAAGTGCCTTGGGAATAAGACCACAGTAGAACATTTAACGCACCCTCAAAGGAAGCAGAGATATAGCGCCACCATTTGGGGCAATAATGCTATTCTTCCTGTTATTGTATTGTCATATTTGCCAAATGTATGGATCCGTAACTTAAAAATGCTACAGTAAAAATGTCTGAAAATGTGCGTGTTTACAGTCACGTGTACTGGAAATATGACCTCAGTGGAACTTTTAACGCACCCTCAAAGGCATATGGGTCCATAACTTCAAAATGCTACAGTAAAAATGTCTGCAAATTTGCATGGTGACAGTCAAGTGCCTTGGGAATAAGACCACAGTAGTTTTAACGCACCCTCAAAGGAAGCTGAGATTTAGCGCCTCCAATTGGGTCAATAATGCAATGTTCTCCAGTTACTTTATTGTCATATCAGCCAAGTATATGGGTCCATAACTTAAAAATGCTACAGTAAAAATGTCTAAAATTGTGCGTGGTTACAATCAAGTGCACTCGGAATATGACCTCAGTGGAGCTTTTAACGCACCCTCAAGAAAGCTGAGATATAGCGCCACAAATTGGGTTGACTTTTAACACACCCTCAAAGGCAGCTGAGATATAGCGCCTCCAATTGGGCCAATAATGCAATTTCTCCTATTGTATAGTTATATCTGCCAAACTTATGGGTCCATAACTTCAAAATGCTACAGTAAAAATGTCTGAAAATGTGCATGGTAACAGTCAACGGCCCTTGGAATAAGGCCCCAGTGAAACATTCAACACGCCCTCAAGGACAGCTGAGATATAGCGCCCCCAATAGGGCCATGAATGCAATAGCTCAAGTCTATAGTCATATATGTCAAATTTATAGGTCCATAACTTCAAAATGTTACAGTAAAAATGTCTGAATCTTTTCAGACATTAAAGCCTCTAATGAATCTTTTAACGCACCCTCAAGGACAGCTGAGATTTTGCACCTCCAATTGGGCAATCAGTGCAAAGGCCTATTTAACTGTATGTCATATTTATAGGTCCATCTTCTAAATGGTAAAGTCAACATGTCTGATATATATATCAGATATATATATATAATTTAATTTTCATTTATCTATTTTTTATAATGGACAAGCACACTGGGTATAAGCACCCTGTGAAACTTTCAAAACACCCTTGGAGACAACAATGTACAGTAACCAACAATGCAATGGCTCATTCAGTTTAATTCATATTTATTTGTATAACGCATTTCACAACACATATTGTTTCAGAGCAACTTTACAGAAAATACATGCTTTTCTGTTACAAAACCAGAATAGTCTTTATAGGAGTGGGTATCAGAAAGAACAGTTGAAGTCTAGTACAAATTATAGTATTTACAAATACCATATATTCATTTAAGCAAACTTTGTGTGCACTTTAAAACAATGAAAATGTCATCATTTTGTATCTAGAGTCCTCTATTCACAGGGTCATATAAAGTCTTCATAAGAGGCTAGATTAAAAAAAATAATAATTACTGCACTCAAAGGATGACATGCACGTTTAATAATTAACATATAATGTAATTAGATTTAATGTTGACAGCCCGTTTTCGCTCTTATCTCAGTGTTATTTACATTTTAAAATAGTTTATTGTTCGTTTCTGAAAAAAAAAGACACAAATAGAGACGGTCCCTAAATTGAGCGTATAGCGGATAGCGTCAATAAGAAGCTGTGAATAAGAAGCTGAATTCAGCCTCGTCAATCAGAGGCGTTGCTATGGTTGCGTGCGTTTTGCTCATAGACTGTATAAAAACAGGTTTTGCTTGACTGACTTGATTCCACAGTCTGTTCGGAAACCTTCTTTCAATGAGTGCCTATGGGTCGCCGGAAGGAAAAAATGAACTAAACAATATTTTAAACTTTTTTTCATCAATAATCAACGCTAGTGTGTCGATTTAATTATTTTAGAATTCATAATTTCCCGTTTTTTCAGTATAATACACCAACCAATCATGATCTGGCACAAGAAGTTCAAATTTCATTGGACAATCATGAGAAGTGGAGCAGACATTTTTTCCCGTTCTTATTCATAAATCAGTTGAAAATACATGGACAGACGAGCTTGCATTTGTGGAGCGATCTGGACCTGCGGTTTGTCACAGTTAATCAATCAAATTACATCGCTGAGAAAATGGATGCTAAATGAATACAAAAGCACTGCACAAAACTATGCAGCGCCAAAAGTCGCAATAATAGTAATCAGTATTCAATTCACTTATATTTATGTATGGTACACCGTTTACTATTTCATGAAACTATCATAGTTAATGAAGCCTAAATGCCACCTACAGGCCTATTATGTGAAGTGTAGGCTGGCGAAATGGTGACGTGAAAGGACTTTATTATATTACCATTTTTTTTTAATTATGCAGCATTATGAAAGTGTCTTATGCTCATCAAGCCTTCATTTATTTGAACAAAAATACAGAAAAACTGCATTTAAAAAAATAATTAAATTGTACTCAATTTAAAAGAATGTTTTTCTATTTTAATATAGCCTACTTTAAAATATAATTTATTGCTGTGATCAAAGCTGAATTTTCAGCATCATTACTCAAGTCTTCAGTGTCACATGATCCTTAAGAAATCATATAATATGCTGATTTATTATCAATGTTGGAAAGTTTTTTATTTGTTTGTAACCTGTGATACTTTTTGGGGTTCATTGATAAATGAAAAGTTAAAAAGAACAGCATTTATTCAAAATAGAGGTGTTTTCTAACAATATCAATCTTTACTATCACAATTTAACAAATCCTTACTGAATAAAAACTAATTTCTTTAAAAAAAAATAAAATACTGACCTCAAGCTTTTGAACAGTAGTGTATATTGTTACAAAAGTTATATTTTAAATAAATGCTGTTCTTTTTTAACTTTTAATTATCAAAGAATCCAGGGGCATGTTCAAGCTCAAACCGGTGTGCACAACTCTTGCGTCATCAGAACAGGGTGTTCAACGCACCACCGTTTCTGTTTAAAAAACGTTTTGCACCGTTTTTGTCGGTGCTGAACGCAGCCCTGAAAAAGTATCACAGGTTTCCAACATTGATAATAAATCAGCATTGCATAAAATGTATTTTAAAATATATTAAAATTTTGATCAAATAAATGCAGGCTTGATTACCATAAGTGACTTCTTGCAAAAATATAAAATAGTAATGTATCCGAACTTTTGACCAATATATATATTTTTTACATTGCCCCTATTTTACATTTGAGCCCCTGCCCCTGAGGAACTCTCTGCACGTCCCTGTAATACAGTAATACAATAAGCTTGTAATGAAGCAACTCAACGTTCCTTCGTTACTAGACTAGCTCTAAAATGACGTTTTCGAATTAGTAACGGAGGCTTGGGCTCAGCTGTTAAACTGTCAAACTGAGATTTGAATCCTTGGCGGAAGGAAGTAGTTCTACACAAAAGAGGGTTTTAAAGACACTCCGTTGTATTGCTCATTTAAACTGGGTGTTTTAGATTTTGATTTGTCCTGTGATAGCTGGGTTTGAGTCAACCAATTACACTACATAATTGATTCAGTCAGCACAAATGCAGAGATTGTGTTCATCTGGCAATTAAAAGCTCATAATAATCTTCATTTCCTATTTAATATGCTGATTATGCAATGTAGTATCCAGGATTGTCAGTTTACCCCACAACTATCATTAAACAGGAATGTTTGGTTTCAGGCAGATAGGAATGCGGATCTACATTCCAGCCTTAAGCGTATACTTTGTCTTATTTGGCATTAAACCTATTTCATGGTCTGTGCCGTTTGTAAGGGCTGTGCAAAAGCTTTCTAAGACCAGCAGGTTGTGGGGAATGAAGTCAAACTTCTTTTCAGGCCAAGTTACTTGCTTTTATCTTATGACATTCTGACATTTAAAAAGTTTCTTTTCATTTGATTTCAAAGGACCAACTGGCACGTCCTGTTCCTGGGTCAGCATGATTTATTGGTCCTGAAACAACAAACCTGTCGAGTTATAACACAAACCCTAATCATAATTTAATCCTTTAACTAGAGGGAATTCAGAATTAGTAACAAGTCTCTAACCCAGTACTAAGCCTACGCTTAACATTAGTCCTCACATCTGATTTGTTGTCAGCAATGTTGTTCCAGCACCAACAATGACCAGGCAGATGCTTCTTAAGACCAGCGAGGTGTGGGGAATGAAATCCTTCTTCATTCCAGCTCGAACTGTATCTGTTTGTAAAAGGCTGCAACATCGCACAAACCTGATTTAACGTGTGTTACTTTCTTTTTTGCGTCCATTCTCAATCACCTCCTCTATATTTAGGGAATTCTATAGATCATAAACAGTCTGGGTGGATTTATTTTGTTGATTTGGTAAGCCTACTAGATTTATTTATGAATTATTATTTTTTAATGTGAAAAGCACATAATTATGGTTAAAATGGAAACCGGTAGTCAAATTTGATCATTCATGCAATCACTTATTTGACTGTGGCCATACAACATTTACATGTGACGTTGACGTCATATGTAAAAGGATATAAATGTGCATGGAGCTGGAAATGCATTATTCTCAAGAAAACTACAAGGTAATATAATTTTTTCTGTCTTTTTTTCTTTCTTTTGAGATTGTGTAATGTTGAATTTACTTAACACATTTCTGGTCATGCAGTATATTACATGTATATGAGAAATTTAGTACTAAAAGACAATTGTAGTAATTCAAAAACAAAACTGAATATATATTCTCCTTGTTTACAGTGCTGGGTAGTAACTGATTACATGTAATCTGGATTATGTAATGAGATTCCAAAAATTAAGTACTTAGAGTAATTAGAGTATATTACTTTGTAAAATTCTCATAATCAAATTACAGTTAATTTTTCATGGATTACATGATTACATATTATTCACACAATGGCATTGAATTATTCACAATTTATTGTCATTCATTCATTTAATTAATTTTACTTATATATATACATTTTATTTTGTAGTCCCAAATGTTTTTGTCAGCCAAACCCTTTTGACATATAATACTTACTTAAAATATTCTTGCGGGAGTTAATATTTAAAAGAATTTAACAACACATTCGCATGTTTACAGTTTTCTGTTGTCAGTTAATGGTCACATTGACATGCAGGTCAACAAATAAAATATTTATATTTTTTTGTGTACAGGTGTTTAAATTATTGTTATTTTACATTTTTATGATTTAATTAGTTATTAGCTTTTTATCAACTCACAAACCCACTGCAGTTCTTACATTAAGCCCAGTTTAGGAAACCCTGGTGTAATGTAATGTTTAATGCATTTTATTATGTTGATATAAAAAAAAAATTGAATATATTTTCTTTCTCTTTGCTTTTTTTAATATCAATATGTTATGTAATTTAATGGTACGTTTAAAACAAGTTTGATAAAAAAGTAATCTAAAATCAATCTAAAAGTAGTCCAATTACATTACCTAAAATGAGTAATCTAGATTGTTACTAACTACAGTTTTCATCATGTAATCTGTAATCATTAACAAACTACAATTTTTAAGTAATCTACCCAGCTCTGTGTGTTTATTTCCTCCACTCATTTGACAACTTTGACACTTTTTTTCTCTCTCAATTTCTCTTATTAGCTTTAAATACCTCTAAAATAAAATTCTGTTACCATTTACTCACCCTCATGTATTTCCAAATCTGTATGACTTTCTTCTGTGAAACACAAAAGGAGAAACTTTGAAAAAAAAAAAAAAAGGAGTAAGATGTTCTTTAAAAAGTAACCTTTTGTGTTCCAATGAAGAAAATAAGCTAAACAGTTTTGTGGTGAATTTTCTGTTAATACTTGCGATCTTTATTTGGGAGTTCATATGTTAGAATAGAGTTTGGTTACAGAAAAGTTTCCAAACATTGTTCTGGATCCCCTTCAGCACTGCAAATTTCCAGTGTTTACCTAATCCAACCTGATCACTTATTACTTCAATAGGGTGCTGCAAGACCTGAAATGTCACAAGAGAGAGACATCCACAATATGTAGTGTTTTGTTGGGTCACCACTTTTACTTTCAATCTTTAATGTCTCAGAGGCAATTTGTTGCAGACAGCAGTACATACAATAAACCAGTGGTTCCCAACCCTGGTCCTGGAGGCACCCCAACACTGCACATTTTGCATGTCTCCTTTCTCTGACACACCAATTTCAGGTCTTGAAGTCTCTACTAATGAGCTGATGACCTGAATCAGGTGTGTTTGATTAAGGAGACATGCAAAACGTGCAGTGTTGGGGTGCCTCCAGGACCAGGGTTGGGAACCACTGCAATAAACCATGAATGGAAACATCAAAAAAAAAAAAAAACACTAAATTACTAAACTGTTTAGATATCCAGGAGCTGATTAAAAGGCAGATAATAAGCATTTGACTTAATTGGAGTTAATCTGCAGGTTTGAAACATTATTCCATCTATCAGGGTTATTATTAAAGACACAGGAAGGAAAATGGAAATATGGCATATTTTGTAAAATGAAAAAGAAAAAAAAAAGAATAACTTTTGTAAGAAATGAATTAATTCCCACTATTAATTTTCCACAGTTGTGAACAGTCATGGTTTCACTGGTTGTAGTGGCTGTATTTCTCCTCCAGGGGGCTCTATTTCAGCCCCCTCAGGCTGAAGCCTTCAAAATCCTCCCTACTGATGAATCCCTCACCCATCAACAAATCACTGAAGCAGCTTTCCTCCGTAAGATGGTAGAGGTGTGCCGAAACGTAGCCACTGCCCGGGGCAAAGACTTTACGCTACCTGTAAGAATATGAGCTTAAACAAATTTGGGAACTACGTGCGCTGTTTACAAATTATTTAATCTTAACTGAGATTATTCCTGCAACTTTATCACACTGAAATGTCATACAACCTAATGACTGTCCTGAGCTATGATGTGAAAGGCAACAGACAAGAAAAAAACCTACACATCTATTTTATGCATTTAAGAGCGGCCTCCATTTATACATTTTTAAAATGTATTTAAAATTAAATTATTTAAAAACAGAGAAAGACAAGATGGTGTAGTTCTATCAGCAGTGGCATGCACTTTTTTGTGCACTCTAATAAAAAAAATTGAATTAAAATTATTATATATAAAAATAGTTTTAGCTAGTTATTTAAGAAATCTTTAACAGATAGTTTTAGGAACAAACTTGTATTGTTTCTGTTGTTTTAAATGTTAAAAGAAAGTATTTTAACATTAAAAGAACTTCCCTTTATACAAAGAGAAACAAGTCTAGTTGTAAACCAGTTAACTCTTTATGACATTCTGTGATGATGAACATGAGTTTGCTTTACATGCTTTAATTGCCAAGTCTTGCAATCCTCTATTGTGCATGGCCAAATTGACTAGTTTATGTAATTTTTTTATTATTAGTTTTTTTAATCTTAACCTTCATGAATACATATTTGTATTTATTTTATTAAATATATTATTTATCTATTATTTTATTAAATATATTATTAAATTACATTTTCCCCCTCTACTTCCCACTTTAGATCAACAGCAAACTGACTGTAACTACCGTCCAGAAAGCCTGCTCAAATTCATATTCCTCCTCATTAAAACTATCCACTTTCAATCTGGCTATTATTCAGACTTCCCTTAGCAATGCAGCTGTGGATCTAAAAGTGTTCAGTACTGCTCATCATTTTGATGATGAAGATTTCATAAATGGACGAGACCTCATCACTCAGGGCGTAGCTGCTGTGAAAGTCAGCATCAAAAATAGGAACTATTTGTCTGCCCGCTCCATTCTTGGGGCTGTATGTCATACTTTACAGGTATGTAAATCCTGTGAAGGTAATTTTAATTTTATGCTCGCCTCATGCATGAAATCTAAAAGTGTTGAGTATTTTTAATAAAAATCAAAGATCTGCATCTTGTGTAATTTTGGAAGATCAGAATTTAATCTGATGCACTTTAGGCAAATTTAAAATATGCACAATAAAACTGCTCAGTATTATTACACAAAGTATATTGTGTTCAGCATTGGCTTCGTCAGTGGTTTATAACGAGTTACAATAGGACTACACTGAGTATATACATTTGCAAGTTTGAAAACGAATCTGTTTTTGTGTGTAGGATTTCTATAGTCACAGTAACTGGGTGGAACTGGGAAGCACTGCTCCTTTCAGCTCACTGATCAAACCTGAGCTTCCTCTCAACAACCTAGCAAGTACTGTGTTGTATACTTGCTTCTAAAGTAGTCTATGTATTATTCTCAAAATTGAATTCCCCAATCAACTGTATCATATTATATAACCTTGATATGTCAAGTAATTTGTATGTATTTCTGGATGGATAAATGTCTAGGTTCCAACACAAAAACATGCAAAAGCTGTGTCGGAGAAGACTGCCGTGACAACATTCTCCCAGAGGTACTCCAGCAGAAGATGTTAACTTCAGGATATTTCCACCCTTTATTCCCAGACAAACCTGCAGGTAAGGAAACTTAGCATCTCATTCATTAGCATTGATAGGTAGTGCTGTTTTGGCTTTTTAAAGTAGTAGTTATCAAAGCGCTATATTTCTATCTTCTACATGTAAGGGGAAAAAAAGTGGAAAATGAAAAAGGCACAGGTCATTTTGGGTCAGGACATTGCCACACCATGCAGTCTGCATTTTTACAAACATTTCTGAAAAGCTCAGTCAATGCAACCTTGGTACTGTGAAAGGATGCCACCTTTGCAATAAGTTTGTGAAATTTTATCCCTGCTATATTCCACTGTCAACTGTAAGTGGTATTATTGGAAAGTAGAAACGTTTAGGAACAGCAGCAACTCAGCCACGACACAGAAGACCATGTAAAGTCACAGAGTGGGGTCATCGAGTGCTGAGCCACATGGTGCGTAAAAGTCTACAATACTCTGCTGGTTCCATAGCTAAAGAGATACAAACATTTAATGGCATTAATATCAGCACAAAAAATGTGTGGCAGTAGCTTAATGGAATGGGTTTCCATGGCCGAACAGCTGCATGCGAGCATCACATTACCAAGTACAATACCAAGCGTCAGATTGATTGGTGTAAAGCACACCTCCACTGGACTCTGGAGCAGTGGAAACAAGTTCTGTGGAGTGGTGGATACCAGGAGAACATTATCTGCCTGACTGCATTGTGCCAACTGTAAAGTGGAAACGGTTTGGGGAAGGCCCTTTTCTATTATAGCATGACTGTGTCCCAGTGCACTAAGCAAGGTCCATAAAGACATGGATGAATGAGTCTTGTGTTAAAAAACTTGACTGGCCCACACAGAGCCCTGACCTCAACCCCACTGAACAACTTCTGTGTGAACTGGAATGGAGATTGAAAGTCAGGCCTTCTTGTCCAACCTCAGTGCCTTATCTCACAAATGCTCTACTGGATAAATGGGCAAAAATGCCCACAGAAACAACCCAAAAACCTCAACTATGGTGGTTAGAAAGACCATCAGACATCCCTTAAATTAACACCATCAATTACCATTTAATCGCAGCTTTATTGCAGAGTTCAAGATGCTTTGAATTGAGACTACAAAGCTCTACATTTACAAACACTTCCTTTAATATTTAACTCTCTCAGGCAAGTGTAGCCATGGCAGCGCTCTTGACAGGACCAGTTCAACAGAACCCACTGGAGGCATTAATAAGGATGACATCAGTTCAGATCATGGCTTCCTTCACCAGCAAGCTGCTGAGATGGCCATCAATGCTACTATGGAACTGCTGGAAGACATCCGACTGGCAACAGGCGACCAAGACTTTCTTCGGTATGAGGCATTTTTTCCTCTTCTTCCTAGTAGCATAAGCAGTCCATATTTATGCACCGTATTCAAAGTTTTTTGAAAGCTATACAATAGTGAGTTAGTCGTGCCGTCAGCCATAGATATAAAATCTCCTTAACACTTCTTCTTATTCAAATCTCTAGCTTATAGTGCACACATTTGGTCAACATTGGTAAAATTATTGCTTAAATTTTTGTTTCCCGTTCATCTCTCTCTCTCTCTCTCTCAGACTGATGGGCCTCAGTCAGACCTCAGTTCTGGCTTTTGTGATTGACACCACAGGCAGTTTGTCTAATTACATCGCAGAGGTCAAGAGAGTGTCCATTAGCATCATAGACAGCAGGAGAGGAACATCAGAGGAACCTTCAGAATACATTCTAGTCCAATTTAATGACCAGGGTAGTCACATTGTGCTATAAAAAATGAAACATTTCTGTAATTATATAGTTTTTATAACATACTATATTAACATACTATAAATATGGATGAAATATATTGTTCCATAAAATTAAGAAAGTCCTTTATGTACTGGTGCTTTAAAATAAAATAAAACTAAAACATTCACCATATTTATATTGTTCCATATAGCTTGTTGAGATACATGGACCACAGTTTACATTGAAAATGCACTGTGCATGTTCTTGCTCTGGTAGTGCCTTGTAGTGACGTGTTTGTGTTTTACACAGATTTCGGACTTCTGATAAGAACTGGGGATGCAGATAGATTCAAAGAGCAAATCAATTCCCTGTCGGCATCTGATAGTGTAAACCCAGGGATGTGCCTGTCAGGACTGCTGGTGTGTGTGTGTTCAGTATCTTTTAGACAGTGATATAATCCTTCATTCAGCCTAAGAAAAGTTCACACTGAAACCAGTACACTCAAAAACAAATGGCCAAGTATTTATTTTGAAAGTATAGCTTTGAAAAAAATCATTGTGGTAAGCTTTGATATTCACAACACGGAGAGTCATTATAATGCTAAAAGTTTTTGTCTTGTCTTTCATTGTTTCATGAATCTATAGTTGACACTGACAAGAGCTCCTCCATCATCAGATATTTTTGTTTTCACTGATGCTTCAGCAAAGGACACAGAATTAAAAAGTTCAGTTGAGGCCATGATAGAAAGCACCAAGTCAAAAGTGAGTTCCTGCAGAAAAGCTTGATTTGTTCTTCAGGTAGGATCTGTTGTGTTAGAGATACTTTGTCTTAAGATGTTTCTTTCTTCCTGCACTGCAGGTCACTTTCCTGCTGACAAACTCCACCTCAACACGTAGTCGACAGAAAGTTTCATTATCAAGATCATTGTCTCAGTCAGAAATACAGTTGTACAGAGACCTGGCCCATGTTTCTGGTGGACAGACCATAGACGTCACAAACACTACATTATCTCAGGCCACTGCAGTCATTACAGATTTAATCACTGCTGACCTGGTAAGTTCTAACAATGAGATCACAATGTTATGTTATATATTATCAATATACTGTACATCAACAGAACTTCTATCATCACTATTACACAGACATGCATTTTATAATGTAAATGTAATTTGCTTTATATCGCCAGTCATATCCTAATTTAGTTTGTGCTGTGCTGTTCTTGGAGGTAACTCTGTAACTCTAATGTGGTATAACCTGTTTCTTGAAGGTGACTGTTCTTCAGGCAGCGAGAAATCCACCTAAGGCAGAAAACTTTTCTTTTTTGCTAGCTCCAACTCTGTCCAATGTGACTGTGTATATCACAGGAGACTCTCCAGTCTTTACTCTCTACAGCCCTACTGGTAAACCAACACATTTATGAACAGAATGCTCAGCTACTGTACTGTACTGTATGTATTCAATCAGTTTCATAGTGTTTAAAATGATACTCAACCCAAAATGAAAATTCTCCCATTTACTCAACCTCATGCCGTCCCATATGTATATAAGTTTCCTTCTTCAGATAAATACAAACGAAAATTTCTAGAAAAATAACCCATCTCTGTAACTCCATATAATGCAAGCTTCAAAAACCACACAAAGCGAACACAATGGTAAACCATATGACCACAATTAATGGGCCTGTCCAAATACCCACACTTGCAGTCTTTGCACTTGACCACTTGTCTACTTACCTGACATATTTCCTGTATTTATCCCAAGTGTTCAAGTGGGTGTGAAGACCACAAGTGTGCGTAGAACGTTTCATTACCCGATGGGAGACACTTATAGAATTGTAAAAATGCAAGTGTTTACATAGGTTTATTTTGATTTTGAATACTTCCAAATGTCTGTTAAGTAGTCCCTATAACAAACAACACAATTGAATAATTTTATTTGTGGTGCTTCTAATTAAGTGATGAAAAAACAGTTGCAAATATTGAACAAAATACTCATCTCTACACCAATAAAATGTGCAACACATTTTAAATTATATGTAATATCTAATTATTATTAATATTTAGCTTACACTGGAAAAGTTTCAGCGACCTCTCGCAAGATCTCGGCAAAAAGTCTCACTATTTATTTCCAGAACATGATGACTGATGGGATATGCTTAGCCTCAAATACCACTCCGAAGCGGTATTCAAGATAATGTGGATTTAGTGTGCGTTAAGGGCATTTTGGCGTCTTTGGCATTTGGGACAGTCTTGCGCGCTTACTTCCTGTTGCGTGCACGCACTCTCATGTGGCCAAGACTGCAGGTTTGGGTAATTGGACAAGCCCAATGAATCAATGTCTTCTGAAGGTAAACGGTAGGTGTAGGTAAGAAATAACAAACAAATATTTGTAACTATAAACCATAGCTTCCGGCCAACTGTCATACATCTGGGATGGCATGAGATTGAGAAAATGATGATAGAATTTTAATTTTGGGGAACTTTTCCACGACATTCTAATTTATTGAGATGCACCTGTAGCTTTAAGGCTGCATAGCATGTTTGGGCTCTGCAATTAATTATGTAATAAGTATTATGCAAATAACATCTGATTTAATGGATTCCAATCTTAATGTAATTATATATTTGGCACTTTCAGGTGTGTCTCAGTCAGGTTCAGTGGCTGATGGTCCTCTGGGCAGCATCCTGACTGTAGGGAATCTAAAGAGAGTAAAACTCAACTCTGCCAACCAGACAGGGGAATGGAAGATCAGTATAAACTCCACAAGCTCCTACAACCTGAGAGTTACTGGTAAAGGGTTTATTTTTGAAATAAACAACTCCAGAAAATCTTCTGTAAAATGTTGTATAGGACATGGATTATTTACCATAAAGATTTTGGTGGTGATTTCTTGCAATGTAAATTAAAAATAAATGCCTATATGCCAGTCCATAATTCAAAATTCCTTCAACTGTAAATACAGGTCAGAGTTCTGTGGACGTCCTCTTTTACTTTGTGAAGATAGTTGAGGGAGGTCATGGAGACTCATGGGGACAGAGTTTCACCCGCCCTTTTATTGGTACAACATCATGCATCATCCATCCATCCATTCTCCAAACCGCTTATCCTCTGTCATGTTGCAGGCATCATGCATCCTTTATTTATATTTAAAATATGGAAACATCCACACAAAAATTTGCTTTAAAGTGCAGTTATCATTTTGCTATGAAATTTCATGGGCAAAACCTAGTAATTTCAATCAGAAGCCACATGATTGGGAATTTTGCATATGGATGAAACTTTTCCCCATGCAGATTTTGCATTGGGTTCAAGTTTTTCATGCAAATTCACAGATTTGACCAACAGAATACTGATTGGTTTTAAAGTGACTTCTGTGTGAGCTGTCATCATGACACTATTGACAAAGGACCATTTTTTCCTGGCGAAATTTCGCTAATGTGACTGCACCCCAATAACTTTGTTCGTCATATATGTACATAGTACTGATACTTCACTGTTTTTCTGATTGCTGATCAGGTCGGAATGCTACTTTCTATGTCTCTGTGACCGGAGGAGATTCAGTCACAGTGACTGACGTGCTTCTAGTTGAAGCTTCAGGATCTGATGTTGTTAATGGAACCATCAAAGCTGTTGGTGCCACAGACTTCCTGGTCAACATTGACAGAATCCCAGAGTGGGCGTTTGTGGTGCAGCTGAAAGGGCTGTTGAATGACTCGTCATTGGTTAGTCGATTCCAGAGACAGTCACCCACCCAGCATAAAGGATCTAGAATAACAGTCATGGTAAGTACTATATGGTAAAATGCTGTGTACACAAACACAAATAACTAATTTACAACAATTATTAATCAAAATACACTTAATTTTACATCACAGATTGGTACCAAAAAAAAAAAGAAAAGAAGAGTTTTAAAAGCTCATCACTATATGGGACAAATAACATGCATTTACCAAATTTGTTCCTCCACAGGCCCAATCACAGAACATTACCAAGCCTGGAGTCCCATTGAGTCTCAACTTTACAGTGGCCACTAATACTACAAGCGGCAACTACACTATCAGAGCTCGGAATGACCAGGGATTCAGCGTGTCTTTCCCCAGCTTTCTGATTCTTGAAACAGGGGGAAGCGCTCAAGGAAGTGTCACACTGACTGCACCCTCCGACACAGAGTCAGGGACGGATGTCACATTCACTATTGAGGCAGAAGCTCTGGGATCCACTGATCTGAATTATGTCACACTGCAACTCACTGTCTCAACAGCAAATGCTATTTTCAGTGGATGTTACTCGCTTTCCGTGTGCCTTTCTTTCTTCTTTTTTATCGTTTGCCATTTTGTATGTTTCTAAATAACATTTAGCACTGCAAGCAGTGTATTTTAAAATCTTTACTTGTCTTGAACTGTCTGGGGTAAAAGAGCTTTGAAAATATCGAAGAATCAAGGTTAAGGTTTACTTTTGAAATTTAACTTTCACTTTCTGTTGTATGTGAACAGGTGCATTTGGTACTAGTTTTTGTGGCTAGTTGTGATTTCATTGTGTAGTATATACTCTTGATCTTTTTGAACGTTTATTAAAGACAAAGTTCACATAGAGGGCATCAGCATTGTGTAAACTCATTTATTGGTTTTGCTTTTTACAATAGCTTCCACTCTCATTCAGTTTCTCCTTGGCTCAGAGGGTTCGGGACTGAATGAATAAATTGACGTGTACAATTGTGATTTTTGATCTACCACTAATATTAAAATATATATTGAACCAAGTTCTGGGAAAGTTTGTTATGGGAGAGTAAGTTATGCATTGTTATGGGTCAGTTGTCAGGGAAACCAAAGCAAGTTTATTAAGGTTAGATCAAACACAAGATGTGCGTAATTTGAAAAGGGCACAATCAACAATAGTAGCTAATAAGGAAGTACATATTCTTCCTTACTGACATTCTTGCAGCCAGACACTTACGAAAAAGGATTATCATGTATACAATACATAATTTACATTAAATATATGTGTGATGCTGACATTCATCACGTGTGTAAAGGTGTATAAATATACTGACAGAGGCTGTTCATAAATTATAGTATGTACAAAATCTGTAAAAAGGTAATCAAATAATTGTCTAATTGTCTAATTAATAAACAGTTTTTTGTTTATAGTACTTGTCTAAATGTATATAATATGTAATATTTTGTGAGGATTTTCCAGTTAAAGATTATAAATTTTAACTGCTGAAAAATTATGTTTTAAATTATAAAAAATTTAAGGCAAGACACTACAGGCAAAACAGTTTTTTATGCATTAGTCAGTTTTGAGATTTTGGGCTATTTGGCTTTTCTATTGGGCGGGGCAGAAGTATCAATTATTATATTATATTATTATTATTATTATATTAATTTAAACAATTATAATCAAACTATTTAAACTGCGTAAAAATAAGGGTCGTTTTTGGCTTTGGACTAAAACAAAAAGCAGAAGGGCTTATTGAAAAATGCAAATTCATTCTCTCTTCATTCTTTCGCTTGCCAGGAATAGCCATTTCCCCGGTAACCGCAGTAAACAAAGCAGCGCAGCACCTGATTTTGCAACTTGCAGCGCTCCTATTTAATCAATTAAACCATAGCCTTTTGAAATGTAAGCTATATCTCAATTTGCATGTATCTTTGTTTTTTTTTTCACCGGAGCACCACCTGAGTCTTCTCCTCCCGTCCCATTTCTACCAGTGATCCATTCCTTCCCGCGGTACTCGTTGTAGGTTGCCAAGTTGAGGGGACAAATGGGTTGAAATTTGTATGTGTGGATTGTGTGAGAAGGATGCGTTTCATACAAAATCTGGCAACTGGGCAACCTTGGAATTTGTTGACGTGATTATTCATTTAATGAGGTTTGGGCCATACAGATTACGGGAGTTTTACCGGAGGCGAATGTAGCAAACATGTAAAATACGCCCAGTGGGATTTTTTTTATAGAAAGATTAAAAATATGGGAGAAATACGGGAAAATATTTAAACGGGATGAAAGCAGGATAGAATGATAAAATACGGGAGAATCCCGGGAAAAACGGGAGGGTTGACAGGTAGCCTATGCACTTGCGGTCTTTGCACTTGACCACTTAACTACTTCTATGACGTATTTCCTTTATATGGTCCAAGTGTTCAAGTGAGCATGAAGACCACAAGTGTGTGTACAACTTTTCATTACCTGATGTGTTGTAAAAATGCAAGTGTTTTCAGAGCTTTATTTTTATTTTCAATACTTTGCATTTTAAAATCAACTTCTAAATGTCTGTTCAGTAGTCTCTATAACAGATGACACAATTTAATTTTGTGGTGCTTCTAATTAAGTAATAAAATTCAGTTGCAAATGTTGTACAAAATAATTATCACCACTACTCATTTGCACCAATAAAACGTGCAACTCTTTGTTTTACTACCAAATTATATGTAATATCTAACTATTATTAATATTTAACATACATTGGAAAAGGGGTTAAGGCTAGATGGCATAAACAGCAAAAACTACTGGGCATGCGCACATCAATATAGCATAATTTTTCTCACACTAAGGGGTAGGTTTAGGGTTGTGGTGTAGACGTTAATAAAACACAATCTAACAGGTAGAAAATTCAATTTATTTTTAGCTTCCGGTTTTTGCTGTATCCCTTCTAGTCCCAACCTTGGAAAGGTTTCCATGACCTCTCGCGAGATCTCGGCAAAAAGTAGGCTTGTTTGAGATGCGCCTGGCCTCGCCTGAAATGTAGGCGAGAGTAGGCGGCTGCAGTGAGGGGAGGAGTGAAAAATAAGCGCAGGCAAGACGGGAAGTTCTGACCTCTCGAAGTGGAGCAGACACCAACGAGATCAAAGACATATCGCGTTATTCACACTCATGTGCTGTGCTGCTGATAAACGTGATATAAGGCTTGTTTGAGATGAGCAAAATCTGCGCAGAACCGATCAACGGTGATCACCGCGAGATGCATGCCGGTTAGAAAAGTGTCCAAGTTACGTCCGACTTGCTCTGATGTCATGCTGACGTGTGCTAAAAAACTCTCGCGACGGCGAGGCGGCTGTGTCGGATTGCACAGTCGAGCGCAGTTGCTCTCCACCGACTGCCAGTGTTGCCAGATTGGATGGACAATTTCCAGCCCAAAAGCTCACAAAAACCCGCCTAAAAACCGCCCAAATTTTAACTGTCAAAATAATGTGATGGAATATGTAAATCAAGGCTGATAAGGGCCATTTTTAACTCCTTAAAACAAAATAATATAAATATAAAGTTAGATAAATTTCCCAGTAACGGATCAGAACGGGGCAAATAGCCTACATTAAAGAGAATTAGGCTACAGAACATGAATAAAATATGCAAGCAGACAGTCAAAACGGCAATCAATAAATTAACCGATACCCTCGAAACAACACATGCATCATTTCTTATGTCAGTCAGAATAATCCAATTTAAATGCAAAAAGTGAACAATATAAGGTGACAGGAAAAAGCAACGTAATTAGCAGGTAGGCTATTTCACACTCGTTCATGCGCACATAATGACAGTCAAAACTGTGTCATTCATTGATACATACTGAATTATAATCCGACAATTAAAAAAAACAACAACAACAACAATAATGCGCTTACCTTCATGTCGCTCTATAATTTTACACATAACTAGAGGAAGCCTCTTGTTAAGTTCATATTGTAGAACATAGCCTAATACAGAACTTTGAACAGTCAAAACTAATAAAGTCTAGCAGTTTTCAAGGATTTATCAATCTGCACCGTTTAAAAGATAAAAGACATGATCGTATAAACCAAGATAATTAGTTTCGTTTTTGATTAATTAATTCAAATGTGCTCTGATTTCGGAGTTGCAGTGATAGAGCCTTCGTGTCATCTCACTCCACAATAATTCACGTTTTGAGAGTTGAGTAACTCTCCCACTCTTTAACTTATGTTTAGGCATTGTGATTACTTGAATATACAGTCA